TGCGCATGTGTACCCTGACCAAAGACATTCATTATCTCTGCCCCAACAAGCCCTTCCTTCGAGACAATACTGAAGGAATCTGCGGGTTACAACCCATGCAAAGAGAGACACTCTGCCCTGCTGAGGCCAAGCCTCGCACACAAGTCACAGAAACGCAAGCAGAGATTGTGGGAAATCAGTGGCTTGTCAACACCCCCACCCGTACCGCCACACTGACCTATGACCAGCACGACACTGCCACCCGTGTCAGCCTGCCCAACCAGAGTATGTGGATTCAAGTGCCCAAAGGTGCCATCCTCCACCTCGGTGACCTGGCGCTGTACCACCTTCCAAGTGAAGAGTACCAATCCGAGGTAGAAATGCCAGCCTTCTTTGGAACGGAAAGGGGGGTCCCAGACGATTGGCATCACCCCAATCGACACAGCCCTCCAAGCACTGACTCCACTGACTCGCCAGAACACCTTTCCCGTCGCTCGATCCTGGACATCTGCCGACACGGCACTTGGCCTTGCCACAGCAATCGGGTACATCCTAACCCTCGGCCTTGCCTTTGTCCTGTTTAACAGAGTCAACGGGGTGCAAAGGTCCATGAACAGGTGCACAGCTGCCCTTCCTCGAACCTTCAAACGGAGCCACCGGAAAAGAGGGACCCAGGCGGAGACAATGCTGAACCTGACCAAGGTTAACACCCACGCTGAGGATCTGAAGGCTGAGGAAAATTAGGATCCACCTGCCATCTGTCAATCCTGATCCACCTGCCATCTGAAAATTAGGATCCACCTGCCATCCGGCCTTCAGGATCCACCTGCCATCTAGCCATTATGATCCACCTGCTACCCGATCATCATGATCCACCTGCTGTCCGACCATCATGAAAACTGTTGTCTGACGATGTGTGCAGGTGAACTTCGTCAGCCAAAAGGGGGGCTGTAGCGTCTGCGTAGAATCATGCATGATCTTTGGGGTTTTATGGCTTAAGAGACCCTTTTAGCTTTTGACATTTGCATATAAATTACAGTCCTGGTCCCAGACGTCACACTTATATGGGTACTAAATGTCAAATGGTTCCCCCCCACTATCAAGGAGATGCTAAACAGTTTCACCACTCGCACCTTCATGTGGGGTTTCAAACACATTCCAAAGAGACGTAAATGACCCCCGGGGCCAGGCACAACAGGCCAGGCCGGCTGACCAAGCAAACTAACACACACACAAACACACACACACATAAAGACCGTTACTCTATTATACTCTACAAATATATCTGGTATATTGCATGTGTTGTTTGTATGTTTCCCTATTAGATTAGCTGAGTTACCACTCGTATTTGTATTAGTTAAAGCCCTAAAACACTGATCTTCAGGTGTATGTATGTATCTTTGGTTTAATCTATTCTAAATGTTTGTTTCTTGGTATCAAAATGATCTGCTATCTATTTCTCAAACAATGATGTACAGTATGTGATTGTGAAACGCATCTTACTATTTGTAGCATATTTTGGGTAAAACTGCACCGATCTTCCAGACCAGCAATAAACATGCAAATGGGCCATAAACAAGAGACAAAGAAAGTTTCTCCCGCTCAAAATTCATGCCTCTGATTGGCCATTCCACCTAAAAGGGGGTGTGAATACAAACCCTCAAAAGGCATTAGCCCGAAATAATCTTTGCTCAGAAACCCTCTTCGTTTGAGACAACACCTTTTCCAAGACTCTCAAGATCTTCCTCTTGAGTTTTATTTTCCGGCAGTTTTTATCTTCAAGTAACTTTAGTCGCTGTGGACTTTTCCTTCTTCAGAAGAACCAGAAGTAAAACTTCCAGCTCACTCCTAACGAATCCATCAAAGACCTCCGTTGTCTATCGCATCCGGACAATCGAAACCAATGCAAGTAACCGTTTACAATTATTTAGATGCGTGTTTAAGTTTCAGCCCCTTTTTAAGGTGATTTTTGGATTCTTTGATGATTTTCAAAGGTTGTGGTTAAGTGATGTGAAATACTGCCAATCTTTTCTTTCCTCTCTCTTTTTCTTACTTTGCTTCATTCTGTATATATGTGTTTTGCTTAGTTAGTTATATGTTAGATATAGTTTCATTTATTAAATCCCTTATATTCACAACTGATTGTCTCTGTTTGCTGCTCACAATTCGAAGTCAATGAATGTGTGAACCCTTGCTACATTTTGCTAAATTACTGCTAGCACTGCACAAAGAAGGACAGATTATTCTTCCTTGGCCAGGAAAATAATCTTTCTTTGAATTGATAAATGATTATTTTGTCTGCTCGGTGGACGGACAGATCAAGTAATGGTAATATTGATTCTGCTACAGTTAATTCAAAGATCTAATCTAAATATTTATTATGAATCATAACCAGTTATAATTCGTCATAAATATTTCCCTTTTTGAGTTGAAAAACCCTACAGTTTTGGTGGAGAATGCGGGCACATTCAAACTTGGTTTGTGAGCAAACAGTATCAATTTATTTGTGTTTTTATATTATGCGCGCTTAGAGTGAGACAAGTCGCAGCGCGAACTCACTCTTTTGGATTGGATGGTTAAAAGCCACCTCCAGTACTGTATTTTAACAGCCTCTATTTGTCTAACATTTAGTCACTGTTAATTGTTAAAGTAAACTGCAGTTCATAATATTAAAATTGTTCTCTAAAGACGAAGGAATCTCTTTACAGTACATTTTAATATTATCAAAATCGCCTGTTGGAACGAAGAAATCTTCCTGCATTGCGATAAAGATAGATTTGAGCGATGCTCCTCTTATCATCTTTTAAAGGCCTTATTTTGATCGTATCGCTAGATTGAAGTCATTGCGAAGTTCCAATTTCATTTAACTAGACGATCTAACTCCCTTAGGTTTAACCATCAGAGTAGCTATCTAATGCGTGCCTAAATGCAGATTTGATCATAAGAACACTGTAAGCCAGTAGACGGATTGAAATGTAAATGGGAGCTTTTAAAACCTTGATCAAGTGAAATTTGCATAACAACAGCGAAGAAACCCTGTTGTTCATATTGTTGATATGTGTACTGGCAGCGAAGAAATCCTGCTACACACCATTAAGCAGTTAAGTTGCACAAACCGTAAGAATCTGTTGGGATTTGACTCTCAATGTTCTTGTGATAACTGCAGTAAATTTCGTTAGAATGAGAATAGTCTCACACTAAACGCTATCAGTCTAAGCACGATTGGAGTTAAGGCACAGTACCTTAAACTAACACTAGAGGGCAGGCTGTTTAAGTATCTAACACTTCTTGAACTCCTTCTACCTTCCTGTTTTCACCTTGGGTGGGCGCACCCACTCCCCCTTGTGGGCATTCTCTGCTAGGTCGACTTGGTACTCTAATTTGTTGATTTTAATTTCCCTTCTGCTTCATCGGTCATTATCATTCTAGCCATTCTAGTTACCTGCAGTTTCATTTTTAATTTTATTTATTCATTTATTTTTATTTCTTGTTTTCGTATTAGTTTTTCATATCCAGTACTATTTTTGTTTTTCTTTATTATCTTTTATTACGTTTATAATTTTGTTTGTTTTGTCCTTTTTTTTTATTATTTTACTTTTTATTTTAATTTTAATTTTTAATCAGGGTCTCTCCCCCTTTTCTCTCCCACTTTACCACTCACTTATTTAAATTTAGTTTAAACAGTGTTTGAATTCAAATTTAAAGTTAATTTCTGTATTCTAGCCATTTTTGTTCACCTATAGGTAACACTCCCTCTAGTGCTTAGTTGGTGAAGTGACAGTTGCCTCCACGGCGGATCGCAGTGAGCTGCCACGGGATCCAGATTGAATCACCTCAATCCATCACTAAGCCTAGCCATAGAATACTGACCCAAAATTAGGGTGCTCCTAAATCTTTAAGGTAATTAGCCGCTCCACAGGCTGCCACACTAGATGTTATGACCCAGCAGCGCCCTCTACTCGGTAGGCCCTGTCATAACCCCTAACAGCAGTAAAAGGCTTAAACCTGCTCTCTCCTCTATCCCTCTCTGTGTTTTGATTTGTTGATTTGTTTGTTTTTCATTTTGTTCTGTTTTGTTTGCCTAGAGACCGAACCTTTGAGAATCATCAGGGAAGGCTGAGTAATAGATTGACGACCCAAGCTGCCAAAGTCTTAAGACGATCACGCTGTCAACAATCTGAGTTAGATCCTTTCCGGTGCCCCCCCCACAACAATTAGACACACCGTGCCATTCACGGCCGAGATAACAGGTGTCTGGTCTACACTCCGCAAACTGTTTGTACTCCTCAGACAGACCGTGCATAGAACGTATAATTACTATAATTGCAGCCTGCTAACGCTGTAAGGACTTGCATTGGCCTTTTCGTGCTGTCCCTCTCTCCCTCTCTCCCTCTCTCTCTCTCTCTCCCTCTCTCTTTTCACCAGTGAGCCAGCATGTCTCGATCATCCAGCCCTGATGCCCACTGGGATCGACTAGCGTCCTGGCTGAGTGCCATAACTGGTACACTCCTGTCTGAAGCAGCCGGCGGCCTGCAGCACCTGAGCCGGGAACAGCTCGACGACAACCTGAGCGCCCTGATGTCACACGATCCGACACAGGACTACAGCCACAAAGATCTCACCAAGATCCTCGGGCCCCTCGCCCACAACCTCCTCGCTCAGGCAAAGCTGGGAGAAGCAAGCATCTCCCGCATGGAACAGGAAGCAGCAGCGCTGAAGCTCCAGGCTGAGGAGGCTCAGAGAAACCTGGTGCTTGCTCAAAGTCAACTGGACCAGCTAACGTCGGAGACTCAGCACCAGCACAGGACGGCGGATGAAAAGGACCCAGAGCTGCAGGAGGAAGTAGAAAGACTCCAGAAAGCCTTAACTGATCTCCGTGTAGACACAACACGCCGAGAGCAGTGGGAAAAGGACACCAGAGAGGAACTAAGTGAAAAACTTCAGCGAGCCGAGGCTCTCCTGATGAGAGCAGAGACTGAACTCAAAGAGAGAGATGCTAGGGCCAGGGCCTGTGAAGGCCACCTGCAAAGTTCCCGGGCTGAAGTCAGTGCCCTGGCCCAACAAAGAGACTATTTAAAAGATGAACTTGATACGGTTCACCGAGAGCTTAAATATGCATATAGACTGCAAAGTGACTCTGAAAGGGAAATGCACACCACAGAATTTCCCCTAACCAGCAGATTGATACCTCCTAGTCAAGGGTTTCCAGTTCGAAAGGGGGGTGAGAGCCCACTGCTCAAGACATCACCTGCCAGCATCCCTGAACCCCCAGCAGCAGCAAGGGGGTGGGAGCCTTTTCAAAGGCTGTCTTCCAGTCACGGCGTGTCACCTAAAGAATTGGATAAGCTGGCTAGAAACATTCCCACTTTCACTCCAAACCCTGCAGGAGGCCACGATGTGCACGCCTACTTAAAAGACATTGACTTTCACTTGCAAACTGTTGCCAATGTTACCACACGAGACAGACTCTATCTGCTCCGAATCACCGCTAGCCGTGAGGTGAGGAGCTTTCTAGACCGGCAGCCAGAAACGGTCGAAGTGGATTACCAGCAAATGCAGCAGGCTCTGATTAAGGAGTTCTCTGACCCAGAGTCAGAGCAAGGACTGATTACTGCCATGGACCTTAAACAGGGCAGACAGGAAACCACACAGGCTTACTACAACAGGCTCAGACAGGCCTACTTCGGAGCACGGAACGAGCCAGGAATGGAACAGGATTTCAACTTCAAAATTCTGTTCCTCCGGAACCTGCACCCAACAGTGAGCCACCACTTGGGGGTTCTGGCTTGCCCACGGACTATGTCCACCCAACAGCTGCGAGATTTGGCCCATAAGGCCTATGTTAAACAAAAGACTGCTTCTGAAAAGACAGGAAAAAACCCCACAATCTATCCTGTCACTAATCAGAGTTCTGAACTTGCTCTAGAGGGCGCCGAGCCAAGCCACACTGACAAACCTGTCAACACAATGTCAAGGTCCTTCCCAACCAGCAGAGAGCAGCATGGCCATGGTGGTGCCCGTCCTAAGCACCAGTATGAGCGCCCCGAGAGATCCTGGGACAGGTCACAACCACCCCTCAACCGAAGGGGTGGAGCCACATGGGAAGCCAAGAGACGGCCCAAGGGGAACCGACACTCACAGACACAAGCACCAAGCTCGGACTGCCAGCAGCAGAACCCCTCTCAACAGGCCCTGGACAAGCCCAAATATAAACCATCCACAGAACAGAACCAGAAAGCTACATCTGAATCAGCAGAGATCATGAGACTTTTAAAGGAACTCCTCCAAGAAAAGCACCATAAGGGAAAGAAAAGGGATGAGTCAGATCAGCTATGACTAAGCATTAGCTCTGACCCCAACGCCCACTCAGAGTCCCCTCAAAATGAACTTCCCAACCAGATCACTGCTAATCCACTGTTAACCACAGAACCAGATATCTCATCACCAAGTGGTGACATCACTCAACCACCTCAGCTGACTGTGGAACCACCAGAACCAGCCAACATCCCGCAACACACCTCCAGCCAGGACTGCAAAGTACCAGAAAGTGCGGTTTTGGTGGTCTGCCTCCCTGACGAGCCACACAAGACCAGCTCTGACTGCTTGCCAGTCACCACACAAGCCCCAGTGCCGAGACTCCTAGGGAACCTAATCGAAAGGGGGGTGGCCAAAAAACTCTACCTGGCCATCACATTAGAAAATGAGGTGAGACTGGAGGCCCTGGTGGACACGGGAGCTGACCTCACTTTAATGTCTAGCCAACTTTTTGACAGACTTCAAAGTGAAGCCAAGAGACAGAATCGAACTCTTAACTATCAGAGGTGTGTGCTGAATGTGCAATCCTACAGCCAAAATGAGGTCCAACTTGAACAGGTAGCTCCAATTCACCTGACCATCGGCCCTATGAACTTTGTGCACCCTGTGTACATTTCTCCATTGGACACATATCCTCTCCTCATTGGCAAAGACCTGCTAGATCGCTTTGAGCCATTGCTAGATTTTAAACAACTGAAAATCTGGGCTCAAGTGCGAGAACCTCTGCCTCCTCAGTCACCAAGACCACCCCAGACAGACTGTCAGGTCACAAAGGTCGCGGGAAATCTCGCCGCCAGCCGCGGGAACGTCTCGGCCCAAGAGCAAAGTTCAAGGTCGCTGCTCTGTACTTTCCAGTTAGCCAAAGACTCTGACACATACGGCCCCCACGTTAAGGGGGGCTTACAACTGAATGATGTCACAACAACAGACCCCATACTAGCACTGTGGGCAGACAATTCAGCCATCAGCCTCTCACAGTTCAATGCTCTCAAACAGCACACAACGAACATTCCTTTTGCTAACAAGCGCACACGATTCCCCTTGAATCCCTGCCCATCAGCTATGGTGACTGCCAAGGGCACCTGTGCCCTGAACTTGAGGTGGAATGACAGGTGTCTAACCCATTACTTCCTGGTCCTTCCAGACGCACCGCATGATGTCTACATCGGAGCAGACATTCTGATTCGCCTCAGGGCTCACGTGGACATGATCAATGAAGTGATATGGGCTCCAATGACCTCACAGCCACCCACAGTTCCTGTCAACCATGAGAACCTCCTGTCAGGCCAAACCATCCCTGAGGCCTGCACGCTAATCAATGAAAAAGAGACTGTAGTACCAGCTTACACCAAAGGGGTCGCTGTTCGACTCAACCTGCGAAGCGGCCAAGCTCTCAGCCACACCCTAGGCTTCTTCCATCCCGCAATGGGATCATGACTCATCCACGAATGCCACCTCAGCGTGTTTAATGCCCAGACACGTGAGGCAGGTGGTACCTGCACCAGGTAAGGACCGCATCCAGAAACGCACGGGTGAAACGGCATCTTTAAAAAGATAATCCGTCGTCTTTACAAAGACAAACCCACTTATTGAGAAATTGGCTCTTTTAGGGAAATACTCTTTTACGTGCTGAGACGCACAGGGGAAATGGCCGCTTGCAGCATGACAGGGGTAGTGCAGCATGAAGTGCGCAACCCACTTGACACAGGAACGACCACCGCTGAAGCGCCGTCCGCCAGCACAAAAAGCTCCCGAGAGCGCTCTAGACTCGTCACACACAAAGCAGTTTGGTAGGAGCAGAACAATGTTGTCGCTCGGCTCCGAAGCAAAAAGCTGGTATGCGTTGCACCGGCTGCCTTTTTATGCTCACGCTGTGATTGATCAGCGGTGGATGCAATCATCGCATGCCAATGTGCATTGGCTCGTTTAGTTTACACTTGAAGTGGATTGGTCTCTCTAAGCGAGATCCCAATTCGTCGGTCACCGACGTGACTCGGCTGAAAGTGAACACAACACTTACCATGGTTTTACCACAGTAACGTAGTTTTAATGTGGTATTTGTAGTTAAAGCACAGTTACACAACACTTACCATGGTTTTACCACAGTAACGTAGCTTTAATGTGGTATTTGTAGTTAAAGCACAGTAACACAACACTTACAATGGTTTTACCACAGTAACATAGTTTTAATGTGGTATTTGTAGTTAAAGCACAGTAACACAACACTTGCCATGGATTTTCTTTCTTCCTTTCTCTTGTTCATCATGGCATATTTCCAAAGCTCAGAATCACATTTTGATCAGTTATGTCAGAAAGCTGCTAGTATTAACAGGGAACTTGAACTCGAAGCTCAGTACTGAACTTGAAGAAGTTGCCAGGGAAGCTAAAGTCCTTCAAAGGTTCAACACTTCACAGGTAATGTTGAAGAGATTTAGTTATAACTGATTTACTTTAATTAATTTATCCTTACTTTATGTTTTAATAACCTTCCTTTAAAATATTTTGTTCACAGATCATTTCTAACACACTGTCTCAACATGTATGTATTAAAACAACAACAACATTTTCTTTTTTTCTTTATTTCGGCTGAAAAGGAAGACCAAAGGAAGGCCTGTCAAACTCGTGTCAAACCCGTCTTGTTTGTGGAGAGGGATGAATTTAACCATCTTGTGCGTTTACGGAGAAGACCAAAAGCTGCAAAGGCAAACATTTCCAATGGTACGTCTGTGTTGGTCTGAGCACCTTGACTGAACTTTACTGCAGTTACATTTTGCACCGCATTTGATGTTTCTTAAACTTTTTTACATACCCCACCACCCCATCAGTATTAACCCTGTGCTAAGTCAAAGTAGTAATAATTCATACAATTTCAGCAAATTCATATGATATTGTACAAGCGTACTTGTGCAAAAATTCTATGGCTTTTACTCCTGCTGTCATTGGCCATTGCCTCAACTCTCATGCAGATTGTGCCCATTGTAAGTAGTCAGAGTGTTTGTATCATAAAATTTATATTGAGTCCATTTAATATTTGCAGCACGAAATAAACATGAATAAATATTTGAAATATGTTGAAAAAATCTGAACAATTTAATACAAACGAATGTTTCATGAAATCGATCAATTAGAGTTTTAAAAAACGTCAATAAGCCTACGTTTTATTGCTGTTTTTCATGTTAAATGTGAAGAATGACACGTTGGATGCCACAGACTTTTTTTTTTAAATATATAAATAAAAAACATTTATATATATTTTATAGGTGGGATTTTCCCATTAACTTCACGCAATATAACATGATTTTATTATTGTAATTTTGACTTTATTCTTAAAATATTATGACGTTAATCTTATTTATTATTAATGAACTGGTATTTTAGTATTTTAGAGTCAGTGTCACAAGATGAAGTTGACGATCCTGACTCGCCATCTGCTCAGGACGCGCGCCTTTAGAGAGAAATACATCTTTACGGATTAGCCTACATAATGAAAAAGTTTTTGTTTTCGATTTGAATTATTTAGTTTCAAAGTATTTAAAGCATTCTATTTGATATATTTATCATGTCTGTGAGGAGGCAAGTATTCGCTGAGTTTCGGTTCATTGTCTTGAAGCGCTCCTGCTCAAGACTAAGACGACAGAAAGCGCATCCTGTTTGTTTATTTATTTATTTATTTATTTTATTTAGTCATTTAGCAGACGCTTTTATCCAAAGCGACTTACAAATGAGGACAACAGAAGCAATCAATTGTAGTATTAAAACAACTAAAAACGACTTCCGGTTATGTGGCGTGCAGAGTAGTCGCATGTTCAGCCTGCTCCTGCAGTTTCAATTATACTCTACTTATTAAACATCTCTATTTTCATTTATAGTGTGTACAATAGCTTTTAAAACTAGTTGCAACTATTCGGATCGCTCTGTCATGTCCAAGGCTAAAGGAAAGCACGCAGAAAAAGATAAGGAGCTTTCGCCAACGGCTAGCATAACTATGGCCGACATTAGCTCACTTCTGGATGAACGCAGAGCGGCCCTTTCGGCTGATTTTAAGTCGTCATTTGAGTCCCTTGCTTCAACGCTGGATAGCATCCATTCCACCGTTACCGATCACGGACAGCGCATTGACTCTCTAGAAACTAACGCCAATTTAGCTGATCAACGGCTTCAACATCTCGAGGACGCCTATTCCACTTTGCAGAAAGACAACAAGTCGCTCAAACTGAAAGTAGCGGATTTGGAGGGACACAGCAGGCGCCGTAGTAGGAAAGAGGAGAAATAAAAAGCGATACTTATCCTTTGCCGGTGTCCCTGTTTGCTTTCCTTATTTTACAAAAGCACAGGTTTTTGATGATATTGTGAGTGCACACAAATAAAAGTAGACCCTTTACAATTCCGAACGATGTACTACTCTTACATTTCTGAGCAGAAATTACAGCGTATGTTAAGTTTCCACTCTTAAGAAAAAAATGCAATTGATCGTGCTGGCGCCTCCATGTCCTGCAAAGCGCGCTTCAGCTTCCACTCTCCGCACAAACGACTGTATATGCATCTAACAGAACACATTTGTCTAGGTTAAATTTTTTTTATTAATATTGTGAATTGCATGAAGTGTTTTATGTCTATAGATTTTATTTTAGGCAAGTCATGTTGATTTGAGAAGGCTAAATTGATCAAACATA